ACAAAGGACACAAGGATATACAATGGAAAAAAGACAATCTCCTTAACAAGCGATGCTGAGAAAACCGGTCAACCACTTGTAAAAGAATGAAACTAGAACACTTTCTAACACCATACACAAAAATAAACTCAAAATGGGTTAAAGATCCAAGTGTATTCATTTAAAAGATCCAAATCAAAGGAGGTATCAATTACCTTGCAACAAGTTTGTGAGACATCTATCTCACAGTATCTTTTCTCATGCTATGTGCTCATATTAAAAAAATGCATTTAATATGTCTGAAGAGGAACACTAGGTACTTTTTCTTTGCAAATATTCCATTATTTTTGAGTTTGCATGTATTGATATTTTTGGGTCTTTTACACACTTACTTTTTCTATTAGTATTATAAATTATAAAAAGTTATTTGCACAGTATAAATGGCCTGAGTTTTAAAGATTCTTTTTATTCCCTATTTTCAGAAAAATTAATTTTTTCCACTAACTGCTATTTGGTATCAATTCATTTACTTATATATTGGGAGCAATGTGAGAAAGTATATATTTTGCATGGTTAGTTCTATTAATTATGTCATGTCTTACCATGTTACATTTTATGCATAGAAAGTCTTCTTGTATGCTTGGTAGTAATAACAGCCTTTACATGTATAACACTCATTGCACATCATATTTCTTTAGTGGTATATTTTTGCCTTTTTCCATTAGATTTGCTTTTAACAATATCAGTGCATGGGACCTGGTTTCGATCCCTAGGAAGATTCCCTGAAGAAGAGAACGGCTACCCACTCTAGTATTCTTGCCTGGAGAAATCCATGGTCAGAGGAGCCTGGTGGGCTACAGTGCATGGGGTCACAAAGAGCTGGTCACGACTGAGCAACTAAACATAGCATGGCAAGCACAACAAGCAACTAACACTTTCACTTTCCTCTAATTTAAGGTATCGATAATCTATTTTTGAGAGCATGCCTTGTATTATTTTCATCCTAATTTTGCATCTGGAGGTGAAATGGTGTGTGTGTGTGTGTGTGTGTGTGTGTGTGTGTGTGTGTGTGTGTGTTGTGAGGCATAAGAGTCCTTAGAACAGAGGGACCTGAGCTCATATAAGCAAATTATTCCCTTTGAAATACAGACACAGGAATGTTAGCACAGCATTAAAATTAAAAGTGGATCCATTCCTACATACAGAATTCCTTGAGAATAAAATTAATAAAGTGTAAGAACAGCACATGAATGAGGGACTCCCTATATCTTCATTCCTTAGCACTGTCTGCCCAATCTCTCATCGCTATCCCTCTTGCTCATTCCCCTGACACTGAAACTTCCACCTGAGCCTTTTTAGTATTAGAAACAACTGCCTTCTTCAAGGTCTTTGCATTAGCCATTCCTTCTGCCAGGTCAGTATTTACTGAGATAACGTTGACATCCCAACCTCTCTTCCTTGAGGTCTCTGTTCAAATGTTACCTTGTTTGACAGTCTAGCTATATGCCCAGGAAAGAATATCACCTCATCCACCACTTCCTATGTATCTTCTCTGTTTTTCTGAATTTTATTTATCAGTATTTGACATGTTATAAGATTTCTATTGTTTATATTCTTTCTCCATCATTGAACTGTGAGGACTTTTGTCTCTCAGCACACTCTACTTCTTGCTGAGGAGATAGTGAGTACTCAATATATACATACCTTCAATGTTTTGCCAAAGTTTACAATGCATAATCTCTTGCGGAAAAGACAGAGATGAACAGGAATTTACAGTCAGAGGATGACTGAAGGGAATAAGTTGCACACAAAAATTATAGGTATTGATTTCATGACTGAAGAATACAAATTGTAGAATTTCAACTATGTCAGTAAGGACCATTTTTGTTAAATCTATTATTTTCTTTTTCATTTCTAGGTAGTGCCCTTCCACACATGGAACCAGAGAGTGATGCACAAATTTCAAAATTTCTTCTTCTTGGGTTTTCAGAGGAACCAGAACTGCAGACCCTCATATTTGGGCTTTTCGTCTCCATGTACCTGATCTTTGTGTTTGGAAACCTACTCATCATCCTGACTGTCAGCTCAGACCCCCACCTCCACACCCCTATGTACTTCTTCCTCTCCAACCTGTCATTTGCAGACATCTGTTTCATCTCAACCACCATCCCAAAAATGCTGTAGAACACCCAGACACAGATCAAAGGTATAACGTATGAAGGCTGCATAAGCCAGATAAGCTTTTTCCTACGCTTTGCACGGCTGGATGACTTTCTCCTGACTGTGATGGCCTATGACCTCTACCTGGCCATATACCACCCTTTGCACTACATAGTCATCATAAACACCAGGATCTGTGGACTGCTGGTGCTAATGTCCTGGATCTTGGGTGCCCTGAATTCCTTATTATAAAGCTTAATGATGCTTCAATTGTCCTTCTGCAAAGACTTGGAAATCCCTCATTTTTTCTGCTAACTCAATCAGGTTGTCCAATATGCCTGTTCTGACACCTTTCTTAATGACATAGTAATATATTTTGCAGCTGCAATCCTGGGTGGCAGTCCATTCACTAGAATCATTTACTCTAAGATAGTTTCCTCCATACGATGAAATTCATCAACTCAGAGAACATATAAGCATTTTTCACCTATGCATCTCACCTCTTGGTTGTTACCTTATTTTACTGTACAGTCCTATCAGTGTACCTTAATCCTGCTTCTACCCACAATTCACAGTCAAACATAATAGCCTCAATGATGTACACAGTGGTCACACCCATGTTGAACCCCTTCATCTACAGTCTGTAGAATAAAGACATAAAGAGGGCTCTAGGAAGATTCATTGAGGTGGTATCTCTAAAAATGCCAACTTGTCTGTGGTTGAAGAAGTGAACATGACTTCAGGGATCAGAAAGTCAGAGCCAGAAATCACTATCCTTTGATCAAACTGTAGGTGTAGACTATGTTTTTTCTATTATTTCCCGATATTTCCTTTTCTTTGACGTCAACTTCTATTTACATTTAAGAAATTAAATTTCAGTTTTCAGCTCTAATATATAAAGTGTTTTTCTTTTTGTATATTTTTTGCTTCACACAGAGAATAATTAACAAATGATCATGAGGTCTGGTTATTAGTAAATGATTAGTGATGTACAGATTCACAGGTACAGATTCAGTTCAGTTCAATTCAGTTGCTCAGTCATATCCAACTCTTTGCAACCCCATGGACTGCAGCACACCAGGCTTCCCTGGACAGGCTTCTCTGTCCATCAGCAATTCCTGGAGCTTACTCAAATTCATGTCCATTGAGGGGCAGATTAGTTGAGATTAAATGTAGAAGCCAGATTGGGGGAGAAATAGATGAGGACATATTTCCAAGCAGAGGAAGTGCACAAGAGTTTATAAAGCATCAAAATTCAAATCCACAACTTTAGAAGAAAAACTAACTCTTTCCCAATGAGAAAATGAAATAAAATCTCCCAACATTCAGTCCTGTACTTATGGAGAAGAATGATGGTTTGCAGCAAATTGAGTGTATCAGCTAGGTAAGAATGCACAGATTTGAAGTAATTTGTAAAATAAGGAGTCAAAAATGTGATGGATGTCTGACCAAAAATGTGTGGTCTGAGTGGGAAGGAAATGAAACTGGGAGGTGACTAATGAAATGAGAATAAAAGGAGGAGTTGAAATCTGAATTCTGCTGGGCAGATGGTTGGATAGCATCAGAGACTTAATGGGCAAGAGTTTGAGCAAATTCTAGGAGATAGTGAAGGATAGGGAAGCCTGGTGTTCTGCAGCTCATGTGGTCGCAGAGAGTCTGACATGACTTAGTGAGTGAACAACAATAACAAAAATCAGAAGATGAGAAAGAAGAATAGATAGAAGACTGTGATAAAAGAGTACAATATTGGAAGTTATTAATAGGATTGAAGAAGATGCTAAGAGCCAGGTAAATTTCCTTCCAAAATCTTTCCACACAGTAGGATTGTAATGCCTCCCTTCCTTCATCCCTCCCTCCATCTCTCCCTCCCTCTCTTTCTTCCTTCCTTCTTTCCTTCCTTTCTTTTCCCTTTACTCTTCTTCCCACCATTCTCTTCTTTTCTTTTCTTTTCTTTTCTTAACTCTTGATGACTATTTCTTGCCTTCTGTATTCTCATACCTTAAACACCATCTACCCCATCTTTATTTTTTTTCATTTATTTTTATTAGTTGGAGGCTAATTACTTTACAATATTTTAGTGGGTTTTGCCATACATTGACTTGAATCAGCCATGGATTTACATGTGTTACCCATCTTGATCCCTCCTCCCGCCTCCCTCCCCACCCCATCCCTCTGGGTCTTCCCAGTGCACCAGCCCCGAGCACTTGTCTCATGCATCCAACCTGGTCTGGTGACCTGTTTCACCCTTGATAATATACATGTTTCGATGCTGTTCTCTCAGAACATCCCACCCTCGCCTTCTTGCACAGAGTCCAAAAGTCTGTTCTGTACATCTGTGTATCTTTTTCTGTTTTGCATATAGGGTTATCATTACCATCTTTCTAAATTCCATATATATGTGTTGATATGCTGTACTTGTCTTTACCTTTCTGGCTTACTTCACTCTGTATAATGGGCTCCAGTTTCATCCATCTCATTAGAACTGATACCGCTGGCTCCAAACTCACTGAGAAACCATAGTAATTCAAAGTGATCCACCTCCATAACAATCTACCCAGCACCTCTACTACTAAAATCTCTGCCTTTTCGCTGTTACTATAAGCACTGCTCCTATAAAAGCCAATATCTCCATATGTACCATAGACACATTTTCTTCCCCTACCAAAGAAAATCTTCAGAAAATCTCCTGTCTTTTGCAGCATCAAATTTGCTGTCACCAGTAGATCACACACCAAATTATTCAAACACACTGCCATTTTCTCCATATTTCTTGATGAAGTTTATAATATGTGATTTGTGTATTAATAAAATTGTGTTATCTTGACCCCACATTCGCCTTCAGATACTGACCCTGTATCTCTGGTCTCCACTTCATGAAAATTTCTCCAGAGAGCATTCCAAAAGTACTAGCTCCTCTTTCTATCCTCTATATAACAGAATGTGAACAGGGAACTGCCAGATGTACATGCTGGATTTAAAAAAAAAAAAATGCAGAGGAACCAGAGGTCAAATTTCCAAGCTCCATTTGATCATTGAAAAAAACTAGAGAATTACAGGAAAAAAAAAATCTACTTCTGCTTCATTGACTATACTAATGCCTTTGACTGTGTAGTCCACCAAAAAAAAAAAAAAAAACTGTGGAAACTTCTTAAAAGATGGGAATACCAGACCATCTTCCCTGCCTTCTTAGAAACCTGTATGCTGATCAAGAAGCAACAGTTAGCACTGGACATGGAACAACAGACTGGTTCGAAACTGGGAAGAGAAGGTCAAGGCTGTGTATTATCACCCTGCTATTTAATTTACATGCAGAGTACACTACACAAAATGCCAGGTTAGATGAAGCACAAGCTGGAATCAAGATATCCAGAAGAAATATCAATAACCTCAGATATGCAGATGAAAACACCCTTATCACAGGAAGTGAAGAGGAATTAAAGAGCTTCTTGATGAAGTTAAAAGAGGACAGTGAAAAACCTCGCTTAAAACAGCATTCAAAAATCAAAGGTCTGTTTTTCATATAGGGTTATCATTACCATCTTTCTAAATTCCATATATATGCATTAGTATACTGTATTGTTGTTTATCTTTCTGGCTTACTTCACTCTGTATAATGGGCTCCAGTTTCATCCACCTCATTAGAACTGATTCAAATGTATCCTTTTTAATGGCTGAGAAATATTCCATGGTGTATATGTACCACAGCTTCCTTATCCATTCATCTGCTGATGGGCATCTGGGTTGCTTCCATGTCCTGGCTATTATAAACAGTGCTGTGATGAACATTGGGGTGCATGTGTCTCCAATAATCCTATATGCAAAACAGAAAAAGAGATACAGATGTACAGAACAGACTTTTGGACTCTGTGCAAGAAGGCGAGGGTGGGATGTTTCAAGAGAACAGCATCAAAACATGTATATTATCAAGGGTGAAACATATCACCAGCCCAGGTTGGATGCATTAAACAAGTGCTCGGGGCTGCTGCATTGGAAGACCCAGAGGGATGGGGTGGAGAGGGAGGTGGGATGGGGACTCGGGATGGGGAATACATGTAACTCCATGGCTGATTCATGTCAATGTATGGCAAAAACCACTACAATATTGTAAAGTAATTACCTCCAACTAAGAAAAATAAATGGAAAAAAAAAAAACGAAGGTCATGACATTCAGTCCCGTCACTTCATGGCAACTAAATGGGGAAACAATGGGAAAAGTGACAGATTTTATTTTGGGGGGCTCCAAAATCACTGTGGATGGTTACTGCAGCCATGAAATTAACAGATGCTTGTTCCTTGAAAGAAAAGTTATGACCAACCTAGACAGCGTATTAAAAAGCAGAGCCATTACTTTGCCTACAAAGATCCATCTAGTCAAAGCTATGGTTTTCCCAGTAGCCATGTACAGATGTGAGAGATCAACAATAGAAAAGGGTGAGCACTGAAGAACTGATTTGTTTGAACTGTGGTGCCAAAGAAGACTGTTGAGAGTCCGTTGGACTGCAGGGAGATCAAACCAGTCAACCCTAAAAGAAATCAATCCTGAATATTCATTGGAAGGACTGATGCTGAAGTTGAACAATATTTTGGCTGCCTGATGTGAAGAACTGACTCACTGGAAAAGACCCTGATTTCTGGGAAAGATTGAAGGCAGCAGATGGGGATGACAGAAGATGAGATGGTTGGATGGCATCACTGACTTAATGGACAGGAGTTTGAGCAAGCTCTGGGAGCTGGTGATGGAAAGGGAAGCCTGGCGTGCTTCAGTCCATGGAGTCACAGAGTCAGGCACAACGAGTAACTGAACTGAACTGAGCTCAGATCTTTTATGATTAGATATCTACTTGCACAAATCCAAGGGGAAATGACCTATATTCTGGTCTACAATAAGATAGACCAGAACAAGGACAGGGATCATCTTTGAGCAGAAATATGAATCCTGATTTTTAGATTCATTTTACTTTACTATATCTTTCCAGCACTACAAATAGGCACACAGATAATATACCCTTAAGAAACAAATATTA